GATGGACGTCCGCGTTTTTTTGCCACCGCGCTTGCTGGACTACCGACTTCGCTAGTGGGAGTACCGGCTCGACTTGAGGTAGGTGTTCCAAGGAGACTAGCTGGACGACCACGATTTTTGGCCACTGCACTTGCTGGACTACCGACATCGCTAGCGGGAGTAATGGCTCGACTTGAGGTTGGTGTTCCAAGAAGGCCAGCTGGACGACCACGTTTTTTGGCCACCATAACCTTTCCAGCTTTGCGCATATGCTCCGACACTGCAAGTTTGAAATCAAACAGCGGCAGGTATTCAAGTCCATGAATTCGGCGCCATAATAACCAGGCATTAACTAATGTCATATCAATCATGTGGAAAAAGATTCTTTTGTACCATTTCCGAGATCGCAGTTGAATTCTGTAATAACCGAGCATAGAGTCGAGTAAATCGACGCCACCCATGTGTTGGTTATAAACATCGACTGCTTGGGGCGACGTTATATTCTTGTACTGTTTTTCTTTTCGAACATACCGCTGCTTTGTTGTTGTCGGTTCACTGCCTACGTAAGCTGAGAGCATATTTACGATTTTATTATCAAACCAGGACACTAAACTCAGCTTCACGCCGTCTATGACAGCTGTCTTCTCTTCCATACTTCCTCGTCCCTTCTTTTTTAGATTCTTTTCAGTAGGCATATTTGAGTTCGGCACGCGGTTAAGCCTGACAGTTCCCAGTGACAATATACCATTTTGAAACAAATAAACTTGCAGGTTAGGACTGTTGAACCAGTTATCGAAACAGAGTTTATGGTTTTGATGTTTTGGTACCGTGGAAGCAAGTCTGGTCACAACATTCGAACTCACTCCAAGATCAGGTGCATCTGACGGAAAAGTATTGCTTTGGTCTCCAGCAAATATGTCAAAGTCGTAGCTAAATCCTGACACACCACTCAGAACCTGATTTTTATATCCCCATTTGTGAGGTTTTGCTGGATTGTATTGCTTTATTTCATGACGACATTTGGTGGGAATAATTTGCTCATCTACGGCTAAGTACTCCTCTTTTGGAACCAGCAGCAGACGTTCACGAATCTTATCCAACAATGGTCTAACTTTGAAGAGTTTGTCGTGACCATCTGTGCCACGGGGCTTAAGGTTTTCGTTATTATTGAAATGCAAATTCTTCTTAATCGCATCAAATCTGTTACAGGTCATTATTTCATAAACTTGCTGCTGGCCTACATGTTTTGACCAATACAGTCTCGTTGACGGCAACTTTACACAAGACATAAAAATTACCATGCCAATGAATTGCTCAATCTCTTCTTTGGTTATGTTTGCTGGCTTATCAGCGTTGTCCTGAATAGATTTTAGGTTGGACTGTTCAACAATCATATCAATCAACTCATCCGTGAACAAGAACTTGAAAATTTCTTGAGGTGAATCCAACTTTATGATTTCTTCTGGCAGATCGGAATTTCCTGAAAATTTGAAGTTTTCTGCATCATAAGCTTCCATTTTCTGGTTTTTCCAAATTACCGGGTCTTTTTGTTTTTTTTTCCCTTTGCTGTGGATGTGGATGGAGCATGCAAGCTTTGTGTGGTGATTTCATCATCATCGGAACTATCCGATTCAGATATGACAATATTTTTTTTACGGGTATGGCGTGAAGGGACGGATGCAGGTTCATATTCAGGATCTGAGTCAGAAACTAGATCATCATCACTCTGACAGCCGTCACCGGGAATGGGATTCACATGCTTGGATGTACCATAAAAGCGTGAGGGATTCATTGCTACAAAGAAAAGAAAGCAAACTTTGAATGCATATGAAGCCATATATGACAGACAGTGAATGTGACTTGAACACATACGAAGCCAAATATGGCAATTGAAAAATGGGGCCCAAAAATCAAACAAAATGCAAAAAAACACTGAAATCTGAGTTATTTTATGTTTATGAATGTACAATGAAAGCATTTTAAAAAATTAGCATTTTTTACTTACCATATTATTGCTTTTTTTCCAATAATAAAATCAGCACTAAATAAATTCACTTTACCGGTCGGAGTTGCTGAACATAACCTCTAATAAGTTGACAGATAGACCTTACCATAGACAACAAAAAATGCGTTCCGTTTCACGATGAATTCTATAATATTTTTTCTTAGTTGGTTTAGAAAAAATAATAATTTTAATATGTTAAAAAAAATAAACAAAGCCAGAAGCCATATATGGCGTTGTATGGTGACGATGAGTTCAAGAGTCGCTTTCGCTTAACCAAAGAGTCTGTAAGATTTATATTAAACAAAATCAAGTATAGACTATAACTAGAGCCAAACATGCAGCGACGGGATTGCATTTTACCTATGTTGCAATTATTGATAGCCTTAAGATTATATGCAACCGGCAAGATTTTAGGCAGTTGTTGGAGACACTGTTAATGTAAGGCGATAGTTTGTGTGTAGTGGAAAAAGTATCTTCTGCGATCGCTTTATTAAAAAGCCAGTACATTGATATGCCTACTGCTGATGAAAGACCATCTGTGGAAGCAACTTTTTTTGGAATCGCTGGATTTCCTAGGATAATTGGAGCTGTGGACTACACACATGTTAGAATTATTTCACCAGGAGGAATCAGAGCCAAACTGTATCGGAACAGAAAAGGATATTTTTCTTTTAACGTCCAGGCTATCTGTGATGCCAAATTAAAATACAAAATATTATTGCACGTTGGCCAGGTTCTGTGCATGATACTACAATTTGGAATGATTCTCCGATTGCTGCTCAATTTGAAGCAGGTAGATATGGATTTTGCAGTGACAGCGGCTACATGGGTAGACATGGGTCTAAGATGTCTCATGACACCCTTCTTGAATCCAGCTTTGAAAAGATATGATCACTTAATATTAAAAAGTGCTATAGAAGCCTATGAAACTGGGAATAAGTCTATAGTTGAAACAGCTAAGCAATTTAATATAAGTAAGTCAGTTTTGCCTAGACATGTAACAAGAAAAATGAAAACTCAAGGTGGACAAAAATGCCTTAGCGAAGAAGCAGATAAATAATAATAAAGTATATTAATATTTGCTCCGAGTGGGGGTATCTACTTGATACTTATGATTTACGCATAATAATAAAAGGATATTTAGATCCAATAGGCATAGAAATAAAAAGATTGACTAATAATCTACCTGGTGTGAATTATATTGACAATTTTTTAAAACGTCACCACCATGAAATTTCGTTAAGAATAAGCCAGAACATCAAAAGATCTAGGGCTGCAGTATCACCCATAACCATAGAAGATTATTTTGTATACCTTCAAAATTTCATAGTGGGTGTACTGTTAAGTAACATAGTAAATAAAGTGGACAATGGTATCTTTGTTTATTTTCAGTTTGACTCGAATTTGACATTCAGTCCGTTTCGTTTAAAGCATGTCAAACACTATTAGTTATCAGAAAGTTTTTATTTCAATTTGTCACTTTTTAATTACAAAACTACATGATATTATTATGATACAAATATATTGTTACATTTGGGAATGTTGATTTTATTTTAAACTCACTTCATTATACAATTTTATGAATTACGGTAAAATACCGGTTTTCATACGTATATCAGAAAGTGTCAGCCGTGCTCAATATTTAAGTGAATGATCAGTTGATAGCGGTTTTATAAAACAATGTTTTGACTTGTGAAACGTAAAAAACTGAAATAAAACTTAAGTAATGTAGAATTATCAATTGAGATTTTGTACTATTCCCAATTCAGAAACTGGGCAATTATGTTATATATTTTTGTAAACGGTAGCTTAGTAAAAGGATCTGTGAAATCAAATATGCGGATTTCTTTCTTCTCCATGTACAAATATTTTACCATGTCGCGATAATCTCAGAGGAGGTTAAATATGTCTTTATAAGTCACCTCATCGAAGTGATTGACCTTTAAAAAAAATAAAATAAACATGCTTATCATTAGATGTAAAAAAGTAAGTATTAAATTCGCGTTTTACTTCACGAATGTTTGGCTTGCTTGTCGATGCGTCTAAATATTAATTTATTTTTTGTTTTTAATAAAGATTCATTGTGCTCTTGTATCATTATACATGTCGAACGAGACTCTAAATTGTTTAATAATTTGTAGAAATTGTTCATAAGTTTCAGATATAGAAGGCAGACTATAAGACTATATATCGTTGTCAGGAAATAGTGAGGGGGTCATAATATTGTATTCGTATTAATATTACTTTCGATAACATTAACAGGTAAACGAGTTAATGCATCAGTGTTCGCGTTGAGTTTACCCTTTTTATATGAAATTTCGTAATCGTTTTCCTCAAGCTTCAGGCGCCACCTGATGAACCTGGGCCAGGAGCTTTGATATTTTCTATAGTCGAGTAATTGCTTTCGGCTTTATTTAAAGTTCGGTATGCGTATGAGACTGGTTTATCTTTTTCCGATTTCGCCTTTAGATAAAATACCGCTTACTGCATAGTTTGACGCATCAGCAGTTAAAAGAAAGGGTTGATTGAAATCGGGATATTGAAGTAAAAGAGCTGAAGTTAATTTTTTCTTAAGGGTTATAAAAGCTCGCTCTTGATCATTTGACCATTGAAATTTGGGATCTCTTTTTAAGAAAAGAGGCCAATGACTTTATAATTTGTGAAAAGTTATTTATAAAACGACAATAATATCCTATTAGACCAAAAAAGGATTAATTATCTTTGCTTTACTTATCCAGTACTTACGTCGGTTACCATCCTGTTTTATTAATGAGAGCAGCGGTGGGTAAAATTATGATCGGTAAAATTATCCTTTGACGGTGCACTAACATAGATTTTGTTTAATTATGCGGTCAAAATTGAAGTTTTTAGATAGTCGCGCAGGGTACGTGCGCAGCAGGTAGTCGGAACTTGTTAGTCTCCTGCTACGCACGCGCTCTCGCTATTTACGCTTTTAAGTGAATCATTTTTCGTCGTTAATATTTTTGATTTGATGACAGTTATCAAAGTAAACAACATGGATTCCAGTGCTTCAGGTAAATACCATTATTTATTATATAAATTGTCAACCTAGTATTATAAAAAAACTTTATTTTAAAGCTTCTAAACATATTACGTTTTGTTGATAAAATAATCTCGATTTTTCAATTTAAAAGTAATTTAGTTATATTATCGCTTCCTCTCGCCGTAAAATTATTATTTATCAAAATACTTTATACTCTTTTCTTATGATTCTGATTAACATCAGCTGCAGGTAGGGTAAAAAAGGTATGTTGAAATATATGCCAAAATATTATACTTTTTTCTTTGTAAACCCCACCCGTCAATTTGCCCAAATTGGCTTATTTAGAAAACTACCTGTTTTCTTCTTATGATGACACAAAAGAAAATATAAAAAGACTAAAGCGAAATATTGCTTATTGCTTATTGTCTTGAAAGACTGCTATAAAGAAAAAATGGTCTAAAGCACAAAGAAAAGAAGATGATTTCTTAATATCAAACCAGCAATGGTTAAATGGGACATATAAATTTTATCGCGTTAATACCCGTCTTATACAATCTCATATAGGTTAAATGGGACGTTTGAAATTCCAATCCAAGCTCCAAATCGCCCAGGCCGCCCTACGAAATCGTTTGAAGAGTCAAGTGAGAGAAGCAAGTGTCGCAAAACTGAACTGGTTCGCTCGGCCGTAGACGATTCTGTTATCATTCGTGCTGCTCAGTCAACTTTGAGAGCTAAAGGACTTCGAAATGCATCAGAACTACTTAAAGAAATCACAAAATCGCCAACAAGGGCAGAAAAATACAGAAGTGCCTACAAGTCATCGAGTGAACCCGACAAACACAATAAATTAACACCTCAAGAAGCATTGGCGATGTTTGTAGAGGCCGACCTTACAAGACAGCAATATGAAATCGTGCGTAATACAAATAAGTCGCTTTATCCTTGCTACGACAGATTATTAGAGGCCAAAAAAGAATGCTATCCACCTGAACAACATATAAAAGTGACGAGTCTGTATGCAGAAAGTATTTTGCAAAGTCTTATTGACATAACTCTTATGCGCCTTTCAATATACTTAGAGGAAGTACTTTTAACTAATAGTGAAGAATATAGACAAACTTTAACTATTATAAATAAATGGGGGTGTGATGGCTCCCAGCAAGCTAGATATAAACAAAAGTTTGAAAATCCTGCTGATTCGGACGCCAATATATTTTTGAGCTCATTTGTCCCTTTACAAATACTTTGTGGCAAGGATAACAAAAAAGTTATTTGGGAGAATCCTTTTCCATCATTGCCCCGGTTTTGCCGACCTATAAGATTCAGATTTTTGAAAGAATCCAATGATGTAAACAAAGAAGAAATCAGTTACGTTGAAGAATCGGTAAAGAATTTGGTTCCTACCGAAATCGAAATAAATGGAAATTAATTTACGTACAAGCACATTTTCAAAATGACTATTATTGACGGCAAGGTTTGCAATGCTGCAAGCGACACCAAGCCTACCAGTCGATGCTTTATTTGTGGAGCCACTTCAAAAGATTTTAACAATCTTAGCAATAAATATGATGTAAGTCCTTAAACTTTAGACTTTGGAATATCTGTGCTACATGCCAGAATAAGAATTTTAGAGTTTTGCATTTGGGCTATAAAGCTAGAAGTTCAAAAATATAGACAAAGAAAAACGACGGAAGAAAACAAATTGGAATTAACCGCTAAGCAAAAAATCCAAGACAGATTTAAAATTAAAACCGGGTTACTCATTGACATGCCTAAGTCCAACTATGGGAATACAAATGATGAAAATACCAGCCGTGGATTTTTTGAGAACCCCCAATTGGCCTCTGACATAACTGGAGTGAATTACGATTTAATTTACAGACTGAAAGTCATTTTAGAAACGATTTCAAGTCGATACATTATTGACGCCAAAAAATATGATGAGTATGCACTAGACACAGCCAAATTATACGTACAGCATTATCCGTGGCACCCGATGACTCCTACTTTATATAAAGTGCTCATACATGGTGCTGCTATAATAGAGAATTCACTTCTCCCAATAGGCCAAATGTCGGAAGAGGCTCAAGAGGCCCGAAATAAGCACTTTTGCATGTATAGAGAAAATTACGCAAGAAAATTTTCCCGCGAGCAATGTACCCGCGACATCTATAATAGATTATTATTACGCTCTGATCCTTAGCAGTATTAGCATAATGCGAAGAAAGAGAAAAATAATGTTTAAATCCTTTTCTCCAGAGACTTTAGATATGCTTGTACCCACCAAACCTGTCTCCGCTTCAGCAGAATTTTCAGACTATGAGGATCTGGAGTAATGAATTGGCATGGAGGTGTCAACGGAATTCATTACTCACTACTGTTTAAAATTTACATTTATAAAATATATTTTTCACGTCTGTGACGTTAAGTTGATTTTTTTCTTAGATATGATTTTTCTTTTATATATATTTAAAATTTCAGCAGAAAGTTGTTTTCTATTATCAATTATATCATTTAAAATAGTTACAGCGATTAAAATAATCTTGGCCGCATAAAACCTAAAAACCTGTCTATGTGCGGTGCAGTGGCGGACTTTACGCGGTGCATATATACATAAAGGTGTGGCGACAGCGCGCGGTGGCGGCGTCGTGTGCAGTGTCCCTTAAAGTAATTCCCTAAGACTATTGTATTGAAGTATTCTGAGCGGGAAAGTACCTTGTAAGTTCTACGACAAACGTATTAGGGTTGTACCTGTGTAGTACGTATCATACTAACGGCGAGTCTAAGGGTAATTTAGAGTCGTTATGTAATAAATGCTCTTAATATAATGAAGGCTAGGTCTTTGTCTCATCGCAAAAGACTATAGAATGCAAATTAGACCTGTTAGTTGCAATCCTGAAAATCCCGAGATGGTCAAGTATAGTCCCGGGATTGTCGGAGTTAGGAAATGGCCGGGATCCCAGGATTCAGGATCCCGGGATTGTGTTCTCTAATTGTGTCCCATTTTGTTCCCCACCGTTGAAGCATTAGCTGTTGGAATCTTCTAGTAGAACCCGACTTGCCCTCTAAATGCATCGGGTATATAGCCGGCCCAAAGGGAGAACCAGCGATGCAAACCCTAGTTTCCCAATATGGACGTCCCATTTTTCCAATTTCACTTACGACTCTTTACTAAGGCTTTTAAGTCTTTTAACACGTGTACGTATTTTTGCACTGGCAAACTTTCCTTGTTTGTTGACGTATTCCAAATTATACCCAGTAATTCTCGAGAATCTGAACTGCCTCTTTCATTTATTTCTCCAATATTTGAGAGTCCTGGTGAACGGGCTGAAAATCGTCGAGATACACTAGTACTTGAATTCCCAGGTTCTCAACAAACTTGCGAGCCATTTGGTTACTTGGGAAAAGGCTAAAGGGGCGCTTGAGACACCGAATGGAAGGGCCGTCATTTGGAATAGTTGATTATTCCAGGAAAAGGCTAGATATTGTTGTAGCGCCTGAAAATAGCACTTCCAAATAGATCGTCATAAGATCACGCTCTCGACTATATTTTATCAATATTTTCAACATGTTATCAACACAAAGATAGAGTTTTATTGAGAAAACATTTATTTTCGGAGTCGAATTTACCGGATTTTTGTGGATTAGTATAAATTTTCAACATAAAAGTCATTGTTTTTTCCTGACATTCAAAAACAATAGATGTTAACTGGTGATCACAGCGATATTGTTAAAAATGAATCGAATTCCAGTCTACGATCCCTTGTGGGGGTATAATTAAAAGGTAAACAAGATTATACAATTTGGAAATTTAAAATGAAGATGTACATGAAGGTTTGTGGAATTGTATAGTTGGTTATCCTGATGGAGACTCTAGTCCTCCTAACATAAGAGAAAGGGAAGGATGTTGTAGAAACTCTTTGTTTATGTACATTATCTAATGAAAAGTAAAAATAGCACTTCAAAATAAATTGTCATAAGATCGACTATATTTCATTAATATTTTCCACAGATAACAACGGTATTTTTCGATAATTGGGATGAATAAGCTTGTGATATGTCAATCTTTCCCATGAAATAGTGTCTCTGTAAGAACTTGGGGACGTAACTCTAGTTTATAAGCCGAAACTTGTTTGTATCGAAGTAAAAATTCAGCTGTCTGAGGTCGAATATTTGGCGTACTTTCCTATTTGGTTTTGGAATTAAGAAGTCTGGGAGAGAAAACCTGTTTTCGCAGAACATTTCTCGATTACACCTGACAAGGGGGATGCCATCTCTTTATCCATCAGTTGCATTTTTTTTATGAAATTTATGTTTAAGGGGATTGATGGAGATTCTTTTTACATATGGTATTGCATATCCTGATATAATTTTTAAGTTCGAAGTTGGAGCTTCGAACTTCAGCCAACAATTTCTGAATTTTCGTCATTTGCCCGCTTTGAATTTGCCTCAATATTTTTGACGCTGCTGCCGTTGGCCTCTTTTTTCAGAAACCTTATTTCCTCGTTCGCCAAGGGGTTTTCATTTGTGACTTTGCAATCTCGGATTTTGTTTATTATGATGTGGCCCGGGATGAACTCTTAGGTTCCTTTCCAAATCGTGAGGGAAATATTCGAGCCACCGTTATCCCTTAGAAAGTTGAACAGCCGATCCTCTTCGAAAATGTGGATGTGCGATGGCGGTATTTTTTGTAGTTTTGTTGTTAAAGCTTTATTTTTCCCCTCATAAGCCTTCCGCTTTAATCAATGGTGTCTGCTCTATGGGCTCACACACATTCAAGGAGGTCATCTGACTTCTTCTTATGGTTAAAGTCATCAGACAGTAGAATCTTGAGTTCTTCACCAAGTGCCTCTGGCAGAGGAGACTATGAATGATGATTTCTAATCACCACCATCGTTTGAACGTTTCCTGACGTAATGAGATTCAACTGGTATGTAAGAATTTACGTGATTTATTGCGCTCTGTTTAATTTCAGTGGTAATTACGGTAGCATGATGTTTATCCAGGTTTTTGCGTAAAGGAAGTAAGCAAAGTCTTTACTTATATTATAAGTGTTCTAGAAGATAGTTTTGCATACTTATTATGAATCTATTTTTATTTAGTAGCAGAATGGACCAAAGGAAGATGATAATGTAAAGTGTATGAGCGACGGCTAGTTTCGTATAGATTTCTGGCTGCTTTTTTTAAATAACATATTTGAATATGGTTTTCCATTGTTCAATATTCGGTGGTTACGATATGATAAACTGTAGAATGATTTACAGTTTTTGGTAAGCCGGGAGGTCTGATGATATTTGGAAATTCAGATAAAATCCTGGTAAACTGTGAAACAACATCATTCACAACATGAGTTTTGATGCTAGTTTGTTTGATATTAGCAATTGATCCTCGTGTCGCTAAGTTGGTTTTACCAGCAATGAGGCGATGGTTGCGGCGGTCGGGTAGTAATTTATACTGCGAAATGAGAACCAATGATAGGTGTGGCTACATCTGCAATCACGAAGTTCCACAGAAATTCTCTTCTAAGACCCAAGTGCAGTCTTAGGACCAGATTGCCGTAAGTTTTTATTGCGCTTCCATTAGCGGCTCGTACGTCAAAGTCTGTTGCTTTATAATAGCCTTTAAGAAAACGAAGAGGGGGAAACAGCTGATGTCTGAGCCAGTGTCGATAAAAAGTCGATGACGTGAGCAGGGATCGAAAACAAACAAACGACGGCTGGTAGATAAGCAATCAGTTACGGCCACTACTGATTGCTTGTGGAGTTTCGCTGCCGTTTAGCTTTCCAGATACATGGGCTTGTGCATTTGGTAGCATTATTGTCGAATTTCTTTTGATACCAACAGATTTTATTTTCTGTAGATACAGATCTAGCTCTAATGGTGGACTTGGATCTAGATCTGGATCGTTGACGGTCGTTGCACAATATTTAAACCTTTTTGTAAAGGTCTTCAACTTTTCTTGTTAATTTCTGAATGTCCGGGGCAGTATTGGAGTAGGAGGTGGTCGAACAGATATTTCGCTGGTGGTGGTGGTAAATAAACTCATTAAATGTGACATAAATTTGTCCACATTTGTTAGTGTCATATTCCATAGTCTTGGGTTTTAATATAACTATAATCAGTGTTATTACAAAAAAGATAAACACGCGTTGAACACGTGCATTGGTTAAGGCAAAACAACCCTTAAACATTGTTTAAAATTTAAACACATGTCAAGGGTTGTTTATCGCGTAGCTAACCTTTCAAAATATTTCACAATATTTCACTATAGTTTTACATGTTCTTATTTTGATAAGAATTATGTCTTTGAATTTAAGTTATAAATGATAATTTTAGATTAAATATTTTCATTTAAAAAATTATTAACTAGTGTGTTTATAAAGATATCTTTTTACGTCTAAAATTAATTATAAGTTTGTATACAGCATCCATAGACTGAACGTGTATGAACGAATGAAAGCCAGTAGAACGAATGTTTCTTTGAAAGAAATAGTGTTACTTAGACAATGTTTAAAAATGAATTTGTAATAGGGAAAGTTAGACATCATTTTAAACAGGGTTTATATTTTTAAACACAGTTTAGATAAACACATGGTAAAACACTGTTTAAAGTCTCTTTTGTAATAACACTGATAGTGTTTAGGTATTTCTGGTTTAAATAAACAAATAAATAATAAATTTTATTAAGAGTCCCCGCAGATTACAGACTTTCTATTGGGCGATAGTTTGATCGCCTTTTTTAATCAGTACGAAGAGGTATGTAAATTGCTTGCATTACAGAGATTAAGTATCGGTCGACAAAAAGATGGAAGGGATCGACAATTGCCGTATGGCGGTGTTTGGCTGCCCACATTCTAGCCGATTGTTTCATCGGCTTGCTTGGCCGATACTTTCATTTAACTCCGCGTTTAATGTAAGAACATGATGGATTCAGCGACGTCTTTACTTATTGATACCTATGTAGAAACTTTAATCAAAAAATCAAAAAGTCGAAAAAGAACCCCGCACTTTTTAACAAAAAACTAAAGAGTATTCTGATGTTAATTTAAAGAAACAGCCATGGGAACAAATTGAATTTCTTTTAAAATACCCATTTACAAACCTCCACCATCCATTTGTATTTTGTGACACATCTATTACTGTTTGCATGGGTGGTGGTTAACTGGTGTTCGCCCTCCAAAAGAGACTCGGGCATATATGCTTTATAATCACAACATTTACATTCTCATAAGTTGGATGCCATCTCTAAAACCTCTGTCTATAATAAATATGTCATTATTTTGGAAGTACTGTGGCGCGGGTTCGACGAATATGTATAGATTTTGACTATCACAAGCAAAATTATGAATTATAAATACTCATGATTTTGCTGGTGTACCAATAGGTAAGTGAAACATAAAAACTAAACAATCATTTTACCAAACATTTATTTATTTACATGTTTTGACAATACTCAAAACATAAACACTGAGTTTTGCAGTCTCTTCGGTAATCAACTCTGGACCCAGTTAAAACTTTGTTGGCGTCTTTACACAACGTAAATAAAAACAAATTTGTGCAAATTTCTTCTATTATCTTTATTTTATTTGATTTATGTTCAGCATAACTTCACCATCACCATCACCAGCCCTTTTACGTCCCCACTGCAGGGGCTCAGGCCTTCCTTATGGATGGTTAAGGAGGATGGGCCATAACCCTCCACGCTGGCCCAATGCGGATTGGAGGGTATTAACGACTGCAGATGCAGCCGGGACCAACGGCTTAACGTGCCTTCCGAAGCACGGAGTAGCTCGAGATAATAATTTTTTGGTCACCCATCCCGTGACCGACCCTTGCGAAAGTTGCTTAACGACTACGATCGCGGGCCTCGGCGCTTATCCACTACGCCACCGAGCTACTCACTACGATCGCGGGCAGCATAACTTATGAAACTATAATCTAACACTATAGCAAACACTATTTTCATATATCGTTTGATATTATTCTATTTTTATCTTTTTGTAAGATTTTAGTGACCACATCTTATATGTTCAAGAAACAATTTATAAGAGCTTGTGAGGGATATGACAAACATCTTTTACTTTTTAAGTATTCCCGAATAACAAAAATGTTATTTGTATTTTTGTTGTATAATACGTTTTTGCATTTATTGCAATTGCTTTTATTGATTTTTCTCAAGACATATCTCGTCACATACTCAAGTTGAGCCCTAATTTTGGGGTTTTAGCTTTTTTCTTCGATATCAATGAAGATGTGGCCACTATCAATATCTTCGAAATCAATTGCAGTAGGACCACTTGACAAAGTAATATTAAAAAAAAAACAATCTTTTTAAAGATTTGAAGGCTACACATTTATCCACTTCACATTTAGATCCTGGTGAGTGGACACTGCTCAAATAATTTATAAGCATTGAGGCGAATGCTGACTTAAACCCTACACAAGTTCGGTTATTATTTCGAAACCCGTGGCTTCTAATTGAACCAAAGAAGTTTTCAAGTGGATCTTGGTTTAAGTGTCGCATACATATAGACGTCAAGTGGTACTTTTTTTGCTAAAAGATCAACAATATATTCAGCGTCTTCTATAGTTTGCAGCCAATTTTTAATACTGGGTACAGTAGTTGACTCACTTTGAATGTTTACAAATTTTGCTGTTTTAAATATAACTTTAGACTCTGTCCACTGCTTTTTATGGACTGACTGCGGGGCTACTACTAGAGGTTTGCCACTTCTTTTCTTGAAGTTTTCGAAACTACCATTGAAAGAATCGAAGAGGTTGTCAAAAAAAATCAACACGTCTTTCTAGTTTCTAGTGCTTCTTTAGGTAGTCTTCCAATTCCTGACAAAACAGACAAAAATGACTTAAGATATGTGACACTCTTAATACCCTTTAGTCTAAAGTTTTAGTCGTATGTTTTTATCTTAGATGAAGGACTGTATCTATGTAATTATTTCCAATGTCATATATTTTAATAATGAATAATAATTAAATTCACAGTAGCAATTGGTTGAAGACTTTTTGACTTTTTTTTGAAGACATAGAAACTAAATACATTTTCAGGGTGTTTGTAGCATACTATTTTTGGTCAAGCCCAGTATGACCACTAGTGTATAAAAAATAATCATCCTCATTATCTCAGTACTTGTATTTTTTAGAAAACAAACCTAATTACCTGCTAAAGTTCCCATATTTACACCAACAGTACGGCTAAAAACTTGGGTTGCATATTTCACCTTCATTTTTTTAATTATTTTCGGATTTACATGATTTTCAGTCAATTTGGGAATTAAACCCTTGATAAGCAGGATTTTCATTGTATAAAAGTGTGATGTGTTCCCACTTCGCAGTTTTTTCTTCGCCATTAATGGTTATCTTGAGGTCCTTATTTAATAGATTATTCCTTATCCCTTTTATGAGATGGGATGTATCATATAATGGAACCACTTCTTTCCCATCAACTTCAAAAACTTTGTGTTTCATTTCTTGCCCATTTCCTTAATATTATTCCCGATTTTTTTCAATAAGGTAATTGATTGCACATACATCCGTTGTACCTTGGTAACAAATGGTGGCTACGACTTTAAAGTCAATACTATTCAATTTTTTAATAATATTTTTTATTTGATGAACCAAGTCTATTGTTGGTGTGGTTCCAGCGCACAAAGTATAGGCAAGTGGTTGATTATAATTTTTGTGTATTCCTCTTACCATAAAAACTAGGGCATGGTCTGCCACTTGCTGTTTTAACATCTGCCCATTGTTAACGAAACCACACATCATATCACTTCTCCTCAAGTAATCGAAATGGGCACTTAGAGCTATTTCGTCAAATAGTAAAACACACAATCTGTCATTTGTGTTCATTTTTCTAATTCGTTTTTTTAATTCAATGAACATATCTTCATTTAGGCCCGGTGCTAATGAAGCAGTTCATATCATTCGGCTGAGTGTCACTGGTGAGGGTAAAATAAAGAATTTCCTAAGCCACCTATAAGCTCGTGGGCCTTATTTGTAAAGAGCTAAACCCATCACTTTCTCACTCTTCTTGAAACGCCTGCCCATTTTCCCCTTTCCAACTTCTCGAAATTGCAACATGGTAAAAATCATTGCAACTACTGTGAACTTTTTAGCACTCTCTGGAAAGTAGGGTTTCCACACAGTTTTAGTGCTTTCTTCAATTGAGCTGATACAGAGTCTTTAGACTTTTGTATTATTTTAATATTGTCTCTTAATGCCACCATTTCAGAGGTCATGAATTTGAGTTTGTGTTGCCCTATAACAAATTAAATTTAGTTTAGCTTTTACAATATGTAATTAACTTATAGACAGACATAGACTTATAGAATCGTCATCAGCCCTTTTCAACGTCTCACTGCTGGGTACGGGAGTTTTCCCAGAGGAGAGTTTCATGCATTAAAGTCACGGAAGCCCAATCCAGATTAGCGAATGTCACATATCAACGAACCATGGTGAGTTCTATGATATGTCAATTTTCTCACAATGTTACCTTCACTGGAGACAAAGGCAAATATTGAAAAAGATACCAGATTGGGGACCGAACTCTGTATCCTAATGGGCCATCAACACTCTCATTAAATTTTTAGAAATACATTCTCATTTCATGTATCGGAAATTACACTATTTTTGGGAAGTTTTTGCTATTTTATTGGAACTGAGTTTTAACAAGGTCAGTTTAATTTGAAAAATGGTTTGTCAATACCTAGACTTAACCTTCAGGGCAGATAAAATACTTTTTGACCAGTACCAGACCAGACGAGTACCCTAAATGTAGCATGAGATATAGACAAAATTTAAGGTGTAGTCTTTATTATAAAACTAGCTTCCTCTCGCGGCTCTGCCCACGTGGTACGACGTACCCGTCGTAGCGTAATAAAGTAGCCTATAATCTTTCTCATTAATGAAGCTATTATACACAAAAATCAATTTCCCAAATCTGACTTATAGTTCTAGAGATTAGCGTGTTTAACCAAAAAAACTCTTCAACTTTATAATACTCGTATTAGTTTAGATGTTCTATTTGTCTCTATGATATGTTAATATTATTATGTTATTATTATTGTTAATATAAGAATATATAATGAGACATTTTATGGAATATCCCTTTTAACACGGATCTACATTCATGTTATTAGATTATTTAGATAGAATCTTCAGACATAACAATTTTATACTAAATAGTAATGTGTAAAAGTTGTAGGCAGTTTTAATTAATAGTGTTAACTGATAACAGTGTAGGTACAGTATTTCGAGTCACTCTTCCACTGATTGACTTGAATTGTGGTTCAAAATGAGAATCGCACACTCTTAATTGACGATATATTATACTACTCGTATTGTCCAAATACAGCGGGTCTCCACCAATAGAGTTCACCCATTTCTTGAACCGATCAAAATCATTGTCAGGGCTGGGGAATTTATGCAAGATGTAGTCGTCTGTATCTGAGAGAAAACACAAATAGTAACAAATTCTGGCGATATCATTGATGCAATTATTTTGCCATAAACAAATATACGGCCATCGTTGTTTTACTTACGACTTTTGTTACAGTAAGGGTCGCAACATCTTCTGGCAGACATTTTACGGGATATCACTGAAGTCCAATAGAATGCCAAGTCAATCGAGGATGGGATTGCCATAGTCCAATGCGTCGCGTAAGAAGTCGAGGAGAGCAGAATAGTCGGTGTCCAGTGCGTAGTCAGGGTAGTCGAAGGAAGCAGAAGCGTCAGAATCCAAAATACAGACCGGGTCGTTGTTAAATTATGTAGCTAGGGATGTGGGGATGTTAATTTTAAATCGATTTATTTAAGAAAACATGTGATTAACAGCTTAACGCTCAGCTTGTCTTAAGTGTTTATAGTCACTAAATTTAGATCCACATCAACAACAAAACAAGAATTATGTTTACATTCTTCCTATGTAGTAATACACTTAATGTACATGGGTCGAACTACATATAACTATCCACAGGGAGCGAAATCACTTACAGGTAGTTGACTATACCGTCAACCTTCAACACGTCAGGAATGGGCCAGGTGGTGACAAAACACAGGGTATGCCACTACAGCACCAGGTGCTCGTACTATGAACCCGTACCACTCATACAAGCTACCCGTACCAGAAAACCCATATCAGACAACCCGTACCAGACAGCCTCTCGGTTTGAAAGGCGAAAAACCACAAAAAATATTATTTATAAGACCGCTGCTCGCAAATCCGCAGCACTGTTCGGCCTTCTCCGCTTCATGATCACAAACGGAAGTCACCAATGTTAGTAGAACAACCCACAAAGAAGCCTATACAATTAGGTAAGATTATAATTGAATCGGATTCTTTTAAGTTTTAACACCATGGTTGCGCCGGCGGTGACTGGAGATACACGAGTGCAAACGTCGCCGGTATGTCATACTCGACCTCGTAGTCGATGTCACATATTTCGGTTGACAGTAATTTTATGATTTATTGTTATTTATAGTATTTTGTGATTAATTTCTTGATTTATGATGTCTTCTTATGAAGAAAATGAACGTCGGCTTCAAGAATTGTTAGAGAACTGTTAAACAAGTGCCAGTTCCTGTGACTCCGAGAGCGAAGAAGAAGTTGACAATGTTACATACGAATACTATACTTACAAACACAAACATTCAAATAAATAATAAAAGGGAAGGTTGTCTAGAAAATAATAAGCAGTATCACATGACAGACGTATCTTTGGAAGAGTTGAAGGATTACAAAGGCCTTTTGTATATAGCTGGTTTGAATCGCTCAAATAGATAAAACCTGAATAATTTATGGCGTACTGATGGTACAGGAGTTGAAATTTTTCGCACTACAATGTCACTGCAGAGGTTTTACTTCCTCTAAAATAGTTTGAGATTCGATAATAAACACACCCCAGAAGAAAGAAAGAAGATTGACAATCTAGCTGCAATTAGAGAAATTATGGATAATTTTGTTGACAATATTCGAGA